ATGGTTGAAAAAGCTCAGGGATAGGACCTGAAGGCGGTTCAAGTGAAGGGATAACGGAAAGAGAGTATTTTCATAATTCTGTTATTTGCAGGCAAATGTATGAACAGTTAGTCATAGTCAATGGAGATTTTGTTCGGTAAGTTCAGCCGCTTCACGCTGAAAGGCCGAAAGGCACTGTGCATCTGTTCCATTCTTATTGGAAGTCATCATGAGTGGGCAAATCAAGAAACTCAATGAAGTCTCAAATCCGCAAGTTCCCGAAAAGTAGCTTGAGCACTTAACCTTCCGAGTACCAGTGACTGATCGACAGTGTGATTAACTCGCACTTAGAATACGGACCAACTCATCGTTCGATTACGGAAACCTCATCAAGTGGTCATACGTTTGACTGACTCTTCACGTGACAAATTCTCATATGAAAGTTTCACTTGTTTTGTGAAATTACTCTTACTCTGAGCAATTTTTAAGTTCTTGTTTTTCGTTCTTCAGGTGGTCGTTGGTCTTTTCGACAAGCTTGGAAGTTCGCTTGAAAACGTTTCGCCACCAGAAAAGGAGACATCATCAGTGCGCGGATGGGTGGGTGGGTGCGAGATAAGCAAAGTGGTGATCAGCCGCTGGTGCCCGAATCTTCAGGAGTTCGCTTGAAAACGTTTCGCCACCAGAAAAGGAGACATCATCAGTGCGCAGATGGGTGGGTGGGTGCGAGATAATCAAAGTGGTGATCAGCCGCTGGTGACCGAAAAGCCGAGCGTCCGAATAACTGATCGGGAGTCTATAGCTTCGAAAATCCTTGGAGTTTCGTAAGACGTACATTGCTGATGATTCCCAGGTGAAAGAATACAGATGAGTTTTATGTACTTCGAACTAACGCACTAAAAATGACGGTCATATTAGCTTTCATAAGGCCTTAATTAAGCACCAACTGAAGCCTCGGTTAGGTTGCACGTATCCATCCCTACCGCGTTTGGTTTGAGAGAACAAGATAACAAAAAGTTATTGATAATTTGTCAATAATTCACCTGAAAAAAAAGATAAGCAAACAAGGCTTCATATGAGTGAGACTAGTGTAATGTATGTCATCAAGGGCGGGAGCAGAAATGTCCTACGTCCTCCAGCTTTTCCGGAAGCACCTCCTGAGAATCAAACAAACTTACTTTCCATAATAATGTTGCGATCAATATGCACGAAGAACTCTCTAGTGCAATCCTCATATTCGGTCTCTGGAATAAAGACGATAAGCTCTTACAGAGTTTTTCCAACATTGCGACTGGCATCAGGTGAAAAAGACATGATTATCACAATGTAAACTATCAAAAAACCCTTACCTGTCCTGAAAGGTTTAGTGTTTACTTGTGGTGTGGAGACAGTCGTTTCTAATAAATAAACATCACGTCGATTAAATCGATGTCATGTGAAGTTTACGGAATAAGTGAAGGCATGCCTTGCTTGGTCAGAACGCCGGTCACTCTGGATCAAGAATGTATAGCTTGACACTTCTCACCGCCTCGAAAAGACGCTAGCACGGTCTTGTGGAACAATCTGTGATAACCCTTAAATATGGTCGTAATAATCTTTCTTTGTTTCTATAAAGGGCTGTGTCAAGCTACTGTGCCTTTTATCCCACCATTGGGCAGGCAAGAAGCCGAGGACCGACACAGTAGGTGAGCCACTGTCAGCAAGCCACTACAGTTTGGACCCAGGTAGTGGTCGTTTGCTGGGGAAATTCTTGGGCTGAGCGCCAGATCTACTACAATATGCATATACTTAAGCATCACTATATGTACCAGACGATGGAGTGCATTTGCAGAACGATGCAGAGTTCGGTGTTGTGCAATGTAATTTACGCCGATTGAGGTTTGTATCCTTGGATTTTTCCAATTGGGCTTGCTCTTAAAATTACGTTAACATTCCACAGAATAGACCCTTTGAGCATCTAAAAACCAAGCGGCTTTTTTTGCCACAAATAAGAGTGGAATTCGGTTAATTTACAGGTGGAGTCAGAGTAGATGTGGAATAAGCAAAAAAGGTCTGTGGATGAATTTCAATTACAGGTCAACCTACGGAGGATGCCATCCAGCTTCACATTTGAAGACTTGAATTCCAGATGTAATTCGCCACCCACCTACGAAAACGATTGACAGACGAGGACCTTGAACGCCACCTCTGGGACTTGCCTGACTTAATTGTACAACCAAAGTGGTATTCACAGATGAATTTTTATCAGTTTTATAAATATGCTTACTATGACTGTTTAACTACCATCAAAGTATTTCACTGAAAACACACCGGAATATGCCTACCGCTGGTTAGACCAATGAATATGTAGGTTAACCAGGAAACAAGAAAAAAGCACCCATATGTGTAACTCGCAAGCAATTTTTACGAGTATTGGTGTTGCAAATTAGAAAAACCCTAGCACAAATCAGTCTGAGGATTTCGCGAACGCGATGCGTAGTTGGTTACTGTTTGTTTGGTCTACAGAAGCGGTAATCACTCTGTCAAGTCTAATTACGAACTAAGGGAGCATCGTCAGTCCCAGTTTCAAGCGGTGAAGAAGCAAGAGATCGAACCCCCTAATGGTGATAATAACGTACACGTCTACAAGCAGCAGTTTAACAGCCGCAATCTACGGGACTTATTTGGTTTTTTAGTTGGCATCATCTTGGGCCTACTTTTCTTTATGTAAGGAAATTATAGCTTTGCCAAGCCGATTCAGCAAGCCAATCTGCAGATTAACTGAACAATAAAATTATGGGGGACGACAATGAATCTACTCGAGATAGTTACGTACCATTCTATGGGAACAATCTACCATTGCAGTTTTATGAATCAAGCTTACGCGAAGTCCTACTGTTCGCAGTCCACATAAAACAAGTTAAAGTTTGTTTTGGGAATGGATACGACTGGTGTAGTGAAACATAAGGTTGTTCCACAAACCAAGTGACAACTGACCTGTTAAACACTGCAATTTATTCGGGTTGCTGGACCATCTGACTGATTCACAAGGTGAACTGCACGGCACGCCAGAAACCGCAAAGTATATGCGTCTAAATTTGCAACAACATAGAGAACAATGATAGATAAGCTGACGAGCGAATCCAAAGAGTTTACTAGGTTGTTCTAGAGAAACCACGCCATCCCGGTAATTCTGGTTGTTAATACTCCAGCGTTGTCGATATGTTGCGTGAAACGTTCTCGTTATATCTTTTGGAACAAACAAAATATATCTTGTGCGTGTCACTTGGTTCGCTAGCGATAGGGTGCACGCGGGAATGTCTGTAATTCAATCGATGATTTAGCTGTAGTTGCTGTGGAAATTTTACGCACTGCAACAAGACAAATAAAGGTAATTGTCTACATTAAACAGGGTGCAAGGGTAAACAAACGTGCTTGGTTTTGGCAAAGTACGCTCAATAATGCCAATTTGACAGGAGTCTTACCCAAAACTCATTTGAATCTCCCATTTATGGTGTTTTAGTTGGTTTTATTTGTGAGCAAGCTCTAGATGTATAGCAGCAATTCTTATTCGCTCCTCTATTTTTGTAAACAGTTGCCCTACCGGACAAAAAACAGCCAGCAGACGATGATGTTGAACAATAGATGTAAGTGTGTATGTATGTGTATGTATATGTACGCATGCATATACATACGGCATACGTAGGACTGCACGTATGTATGTATGTATGTATGTATGTATGTAAGTATGTATGTATGTATG